TACATGATGTTGATGTAAAGGCCACTGATGATGACGACTAGTTGTTATGTTCTGTTGAAGAAGAAGTAGAGGAAACCTCCAAAGCCTTGGAGCTGCCAGATTTGGATGCCAAAGATTCTTCTGACTACGGCTCTGACTTTGAGTTTTCTTAAACTTCAAAAAGTGTTATTAGTTTCTCTCTATATCAGCTTATAAGCTGTTAACTTGTACCTGTAAGAAGAAAAGAGGCTCTGAGAACAACAGCAGTGTCTCGATGTAGCTGTGTAGTGAAATAAACAAATTCTCCCAGAGTACCATTCTTGTTACTAAAATTAGATTAAGTATGCATTATTGCAAGAAGATTTCTGTTCCAGACTACAGGAAAATGCGTTTCTGGTAGACTTATGTTTTGAAAATTTCCTGGGGCAGTATACACCTGGATCCCCCCAGAGGTTCGGGCCTTTGGCCTCAACTTTGAAGGGTACCTGTCTACTCTCAACGCAGTGCCCTTCTACTTTAAAAGTTAATGAAAACCCTCCTAAGAAACAGTGAACAGCTTCAACAGGATTGTATGTTGGTACACATATATTGATCACTTCAATTAATTAATATCAATTAGTTAATTATATCACTTTATTGTGGTCTTAACTCAGGATCACCATGGATGCTCTTTTTCCTCAAAGTAGAAAAGAAGTGGCATTGGAGGTATGCACCAACTGTGCAGATCACTTGTCCAAAATAGAACAGATCACTGACATGCGAAGGTGGACTTGCACCATAGACAATTTCATCAAAACTGTGAACTAAATGGTAATCTTTTTCTTCAAGATTGTGGATAGGAACATCATCCAAATCTGATGATTTTGAAAGAGTTACGCATCTGTTATTCTGCACACATTTTTTCATAAGGTATTGTGCACGCATAAAACGGTACGACAACACAAACTTGAACACGCGTACTTGTAATTATGAAATGGACTTTACAATCTTGAACGAACGTTGTACGGTTTCGAAAACTAAAGGAAACAAAGGAAATTTACAACTATAAATACGGAAAAAGGCTAGACAAATAAGAAACGAAACCAAAAAAAACTTACGTTTGTGTCCTTATAATATAAACGATGACGTTAAACGGGCGTTGAAACGATTCTCCACTTCGATCGAGCACATGTATTTTTAACTCGCAGCGCCTCTCGGGATCTAGCTAATGAGTGCGTGACATCACGCATAACGGCAGTAACATTCCCGACCCCTTAAGCGATGCTTAACATGGAAAGTTCTTAGCTACAAAATAAAGTAGTAATTATGAAAAATAACTTGTCATGTCCTTTGCTAAAGCTAACGAGTCTAGTCCGTCACACAATCCGCTTAAAGAAATAGGGACTATGAATATTCCATGAAGGTTCAGCCCTTACGAGCTTCCTGTTTCATTGTTCATTATCGAGGCACGATTGTTCTTCCTTAGCTAGCAAGAGGACAACCTTGTCAACTGGTCTGCGTGAGTTGGGAGGTTTGGGTCTTCAAATGAACCGTGCGTATTCAAACCCCTTCTTGTCTGATTCCGCGCTTATGACTCGTCCCATCGGCCAAACACTCCTCGGCAGTTGTCGCCTTTCAACAGGACAACGCCTCTCCGACAGCTAGATTCCGTTTGGGACTGTTCCACTTCAACGAGGTTGGAGAGTTGGGAGATATTCTCTCTTCCAACGCGTCCAAAAATAAGTTTGCCAAGTACTGCACTCTCCGCCAGCGCCGCCTCCATATAGACATCTGCGCGTTGAAAAACTCCTGCTGGGGAAGTACAACGCTGGTTTTCATCGTCAGGAGATTGCTGGGACTTAGTGGGTTGAGGTCATCGGGATCACTCGCTTAATGTTAGCGGTCTCGAGTTAATGATAGCTTCAACTTCACATAGTAGAGTTCTAAAGGATTCGCTATCCAGACGGGAGCCATGCTCATGGAGTAGAACAGTGAGTATTTTGCGGTAGTGCGAATCTGCCGCCCCAAATGCCGCCCATGTGGCTGGCACTCGGTGGGTTGAAAATCCAATCTGTACCCTCTAGATGCAGCCTGCTTCTGATTTGCTCGTTGTTCATTTCGTAAACTGCTTGCTGTAACTCTGTCTTGGCGCCTACAAAATTTGTTCCGTTGTCGCCCGGATCTCTCGGATAGGCCCACGACGAGCAATAAATCGCCTCAGAGCCTGGATAAATGAATCTGTTTCGAGAGAATTGGCGGTCTCAATATGCACTGCTCTACTTGCTAAACATGTGAAAAGGCATCCGTACCGTTTGAGTCCCTTTCGACCTTCTTTGATCATGTACGGACCGGTAATCCACGCCAGTATACGTAAATGGCGGGCTGGAGTCACTCGGTCTTTAGGCAAGTCAGCCATTTTCTGTTCAGCGACAGGGGCACGATTACGGCGACAAGTAACACAATTTGCGATTAGGTGACGAACAGCAGCATTGGCACCGTGACCCAGTACTTCTCCCTCAATTTAGCAAGTGTGTGACCGCTGCCCGCGTGTGCTAGGCGTTCGTGTAGGCGTTTGATAATCAAGTTCGTAACGTGACTCTTGCGAGGTAAGATGATGGGGTGTTTCGTTTCTTCTGGAAGATCGTCAGCGCCGGCTAAGGCGGCCACCAACACGAAGGAGGCCTTCATGAATGTAGGGATCCAGCCGAGTTAGGGAACTTGCTTTCTTCAGCACCATTTTCTTTTGCTTTGCCCGACCCGCTCGCTCCACCGCCTTTGTCACTGACTTGTCTGAGAGCGCCAAACTCTCTACTGAAGGACTGCAACTGTAATGGTTTTAAGGATGGCCATCTCGGCCTCTTCAAACTCTTGAACTGAGAGCGGTGCGCAGCAGTCACCCACTACCTTCGTTTCAGCTTGTAGTGACTTCACGCCCGACCTTGCCTGACCATGGTCCGAATCTATCTCGAGAGAACCCTGGCCTCTAATCTCCTTCCGTTTTCGCAATACAGCCTTGATTCTAAGGAATGCGGCCACTGACAATCTCAGGCGATACCAACTCGAGTGGTATTCTATTAGCTTGTTAACTGACGTAGCCGTGGCTTCCATTACCATGGTACCGGCGGAAGCAACTTTTCTGACCTCAGGGTCGTCATCTGGGACCTCACCGACTGGAAAGGGCTGCTGCGGCCAGTCCTTTTCTGATTTCCCTAGGAAGTGTGGACCATTTGACCAGCGTTGCTGCTGCAGAAAGTCCAGCGGCGGAAAGTCCTCTTGAGGCATCATCTGCCGGATTGCTACTGGTGTCCACGTATTTCCACTGCATAGGACTAGTGAAGTCCCTGATCAATTGCACACGATTTGCCACGAATATCTGAAACCTCCTCCGCTTCGTTTCTTATGTAGCGGAGAACCGTCGTCGAGTCGGTGTGATAGATGATAGACTCAGGCTTAACTTCAAGCTCTTCATACAGCATTTGTCCCACGCGAACAGATACGGTTGCTGCAGTTAATTCTAAGCGTGGGACTGTTACGGCCTTAATAGGTGCAAGACGAGCCTTCCCCTTAAAAAAGAACAATGTATGCGACCCATGTTATCCATTAGACGTAGGTAGGCAACGATCCATACCCCACCTGGCTTGCATCGAGAACAGATGGAGCTGTCTGAGACAACTGGGCCAAAACCCGGGCGGTTTGTGACACCGATCAATGTGAAATTGCTCTAGTAACGGAAGCTCTCCACACCATCTTAGCCATTTACTGCGGCAGTCTTCCGGAATGTCGCCATCCCAGTCGAGATCTTCATTGCGGCAGAGATCCTGTAACAGCTTCTTCGCTAGAAGTGTGAAAGGAGCGATGAAGCCCAGGGATCAAAGATTGATGAGATGGTGGACATGACTCTCGCCTTGTAAACGGTTTGCTGTTAATGACGATTCGAAATCCAAAACAATCTGATTGTACGCACCACTGTATCCCTAAGGCACGCCGATAGGGAGGTTGTCACAGTCAAGAGTTATCGATCTGACTTCTTTCGATCGCTCATCCTCTGGTATAGACTCTAAAACTGCACGACTATTGGAAGTGAATTTGGTGAGGCGGAATCCACCTTTCTTACAGGATTGCCGAAGACCTTCAATCAGCTCGACTGCTTTACCTTCCGAAGCTTACGGAACGTAGACAATCGTCCACATAAAAGTTATTTCGCAGCGTGTCAGCAACCAAGGTACCGTGACTTATCTTCGTTATCCCTTGCGGTTCGCTTAAGGGCAAAGTTAGCGACACTTGGCGTACACGTGGCCGCTCCAAATAAATGTACAACCATCCGATACTCTTGTAGCTCGGCTTCTAGATTGCCATCTGGCCACCATAAGAAACGGAGGTAATCATACTGTTCAGGAGGAACTGTAACCTGGTGGAACATGGATTCCACATCTCCCATGAAGGCTACGGGGTCTTCACAAAATCTGGTTAGCACGCCTACTAGGGAGTTTGTCATATCTGGACCTTGCATCAGACAGTCATTGAGCGACACGCCCTGAAACTTTGAACTACAGTCAAATACGACGCGTATTTTTCTGGTTTTTTCGGGTGATACACCCCATGATGGGGTAGATACCACACCTTGCCTGGGTTCGGTATCAGCAACTCATTTGGAACTCTTTGTGCATACCCTTTGGCGGCGACATCGCTTTTAAGGAAACGTAATCAGAGCGGTATTTAGAATCTCTCAACATCTTTTTTTTCTTCTGCCAGTTTGCTCTTTTGATTGCTTGCTCCTTATTGTTGGGCATGATAATATCGCTATGTCGCAATGGAAGAGGAACTTGGTAGTGGCCGTCGACAACTTTCGCCTCCCTTTCAACCATAGTTAAAAACTTTCTGTCTTCTTGAGAAGGCCCACGCCGTCCGGTGCTCTGCTTACGGTGTGATCGTTGAAGTCCATCTGCAACATTCTGAGCAATGACGTTGGAGCAATGATTTCCTTCGGCGTTTCCACTTCTCTCACTGTAATTCGGTTCGCGATTATTTTGTCCTTGTCATGATCAGTTCGGATATGGAGAGGTCCACAGACTGTCCAACCATGGCGGAGACGGAGGGCAAATGGGCCATCGCCGACAAGGTACAACTTCTAATGGTTCTAAGGCAGGCGGGCAATTGCTGCCAATGAGTAGTCCAATCTCCAGGCGAGGCTCAAGCTCAGGGATTTTCTTCGCAACCTCGGAAAGGTGTGACCACTGATTTATGAGACTGGGCGTGGGAATTTGGTGATGTTCTGCTGGGATTTCATCTCTTGTGTATGAGCGAGGCAACTCAATGGGATTCTCATCATCTAGGCTCGTAACGATAAGATCGTCCAGAATGATGCTTTCCACTTGACTCTGTCCATGCATGGTGGTGAGTTGTAGCATAACCTTGACACCGTCTATTCCTAACTGTCTCCTGATATTTTCGGTTTGCAAAACAGCCGCCACTACCATTATCGTAAAACGCGCGTGCGACAACTGAATTGTTACAGCCCTTCTGTTTAACTTTAACTGGGAGTATGGCATGTAGCACTACGGACTCCTTGCAACTTGGTGCGTCCTGTACAGGTTTAGAGACATCAATGCGCCTATTGCTAACCGCTATAGATTGAACTTCCGTCGCTTGGGGTTTGTTACTGACGCTCTCTCTATTCATTGTGAAACCATCAATGTGCAATGCTGTTGGGTGCCGTTTCTTGCACTTCTTGCAGGTGCGTCTCTTTACACAACCTTTGGATACATGATCAGATTCGTAACAGGCAAAGCATAATTTTCTTTCAGAAGAAATGTCTTCCTTTCATCCATGGTCCTTTTTGAGGAATTCCGCACAATCATCCAGGTCATGGTTCTTGCTGCAGAAGGGGCACAACTTTTCCTTGCCACCAGCATTGTTTCGGTTCGCATGGTTTACAGCCTCTATGCCGGGAATGGTGATACCAGTGGCAAAACTGTTGCTTGTTTTAGTTGCTGACGAGGGCTTCTTCTTGCCATCTCTCCCACTGTTATCTCTGCGCCTTTCCTGGGTACTACTTAAAAGCCTGCACGCCAAATACAGGGTCGTTCGCTGATTCGGCTGCTGACACCACAAAATCAGCGAGATCCTTAAAGCTCGCTATCCTTCCGTTCTCTTTCAATTTCGCAGCACGATCACGCCATCTTGACTGGAGATGCGAGGGAAGCTTTTTTGCAATGGTCTGCAGGTTCGTAGGATGATTTAACTCATTCATATGAGACACGCTCATCATAGCATTTTTACACTTAATCAAGAAAAGCGATAAACGCTTTAGTCCTGATGCGTCATCTGGCCGAACTGGGGACCATCCGAGAGCTTTGTTCACATAGGCCATTGAAACTTTAAAGGGATCCCCATATTCCTTCTCCAGTAACCTCCTCGCCTCCTTATATCCTTCAGAAGGGTCCATATGCAGACAGCCTCCAATAAGTTCTCGTGGTTCCCTTTCAAGATGTTGTTCCAGGTAGTATAAGCAATCTGCAGCCCTGAATGTTCTGGACTCTATCCTTGCCTTGAATGCCATGATAAAGGTTCCATATTCGATGGGGTCTCCTTTAAACTTGTGCACTTCAGGTTGAGGCAGAGTCATTGCTGCAGCCAGTTGCCGATGGGTTGCAATCATTTGCTCATTTTGCTGTCGCTGCATGGCCATCACTTCTTTGAAAGACCTTTCATGGGGTTCCAATCGATAGGGATCATCAGCTGCAGCGATAATTCCTTGTGGTACATCAGTGGTCCCGTTGTTGGCGGGAGGCGATATCTCGCCGGCTAGACTGTTTGAGTGAAACTCTGGGGCAGCAGGGTTGAGATGAGCGGCAGGTGTTGAAGCCATGAATTTAGGTTCACTTTGCTGGAGACAGGGAACAATACCATCCTTATTTTCTAGGTTACCATCATTTTCCAAATCGGCATAAACCCTTTCTCTGGCCTGGGCTTTCGCTATTTCAGTTTCCAGTTTCAAGGCTTCATCTGCTGCTCGTAGAGCTTGTTTGCGTTCTAGCATTTGTTTTTCAGCTTGTAATTCCGCTAGCTTAAGTTTCTCCTTTGCTCGTGCAGATGGCGTTGAGCTGGCTGAAGACTTCTTCGAACGGGTGCTAACACGGGACGATTTGGATGAAGCCGATTTTACTTCTGAGAGCAGATCAAGTTCTTCTGTTAAGCGACGTTCTGCTACATTCATCCATTCCATAACCTGTTTCCTAAATTCCAAAATGACTTCTCCTTACTTTCATAGCGATCAAGTTCCCTGTCTTGATCCTGTTCGGAGGTCAACTGGCAATAATAAAGGTCACGTGCTTCTTGATACTCCTTGAATAATGTGTTCAATACAATAACCTCTGATTTCACTAAATGAAGATTGTTCTCATCTTCCATTAAGTTTGTGAGAGCATTCCTTTGCTTTGTCACAGCAGTCGTTTTGGCAGTTTGATCGTTTTTCAGTCGCCTTTAATTTCTCTTCTTGACCCTTTTCAGTTAATTTCCTTACACGAGTATCGGGACAGCTTTCGTTCGGAGGAAACCCAGGCCCAGCGCCCTCAGCGACAGGTTCATCGTTCATGGTGGACTAGGCACTAATTAATCCTTCGGTAGTCGCTTCAAATTAGCGATGAGTGGCGAACAGTTCGCCCAACATTGCAAATAAACGTAGGATAAGTTCCAATAAACCAGTATGCGATGAGGGTTAAACTTTTCGAAACGAAATGTGCACGCATAAAACGGTACGACAACACAAACTTGAACACGCTGCGTTGTAATTATGAAATGGACTTTACAATCTTGAACGAACGTTGTACGGTTTCGAAAACTAAAGGAAACAAAGGAAATTTACAACTATAAATACGGAAAAAGGCTAGACAAACAAGAAACGAAACCAAAAAAAACTTACGTTTGTGTCCTTATAATATAAACGATGACGTTAAACGGGCGTTGAAACGATTCTCCACTTCGATCGAGCACATGTATTTTTTAACTCGCAGCGCCTCTCGGGATCTAGCTAATGAGTGCGTGACATCACGCATAACGGCAGTAACAGGTATTAACACTTCAAAATTGATAGCAGTTGGTGTAATACTGTTATAAGTACATGTAGTGCTGAGTGGACCATGACAACATAAAAAATACAGTCAAGCCTTGAGTAACTTACACCTCCCTGAAGGGGACAGGAACAACTTCTAAAACACAAAGGCACACTATGAAAGGGACTTGGTTCTCGACCCCATCTAATTTGCATTTTTTTGCAGATGGAGGCAAGAGGACTGCACAGTTGCGCACTAAATGCTGCCTGTACGTTGTAGTACAGACAAAGTCTTGGCAATGCTTGCATTTTTTTGTAGGTGGGGGCAAGAGGACTGCACAGTTGTGCACTAAATGCTGCCTGTACGTTATAGTATAGAAGAAGTCTCGGCAATGCTCGCAGAATTTTTTAGTTGACATTGGTTGCCGCAAAAATGAAAACCAATGACCCATTTAACCGTTTATGTGCATCGAAATATACACCGATCCTATAATTTTTTTTCGATGATGATGAACTTGGGCTCTCTGGTCAGCAGAAGAAATACTATGCATGTGCTTGTAGTAAAGAGGATCAGACTGGACAGAGACAGCAGGGATTCAACCAGAGAACTGAATGGACCAGTTAAGTATCAAAATGATCTTCAAAGTGGTTAATAAACGGCCATGACGAGATGATGAGTTGTGTTTGAGCTTTAGGAAGGATAGTTCTTCGCTTTTCATCTCAAAATCCATGGCAAGGCTAATCCCGAGTAAGTTGAAACACCTTTTCATGGTAGAGAAACCAAAAAGACGTCCAGAGATTCTAACACTTGTAGTACTACCACCAAGTCCACCAGAACTTCGACCACACTGATTGTTTCACATGACGTGCAAGCTTGTGGTCGACTAGAACATCAAGAAGATAACTTGGCAGTCAAATCGCTGATAAGAGTTCAAGAGTTATAGAGCAGTTGCAGGCATTTTTTGCTAGTCAAGGGGATTTTAATAGAAGATTGGAGGAACAGCTCGAGGGATGCCAAATGTTTCCCTTTAATTTTAGCTTCATGGGTTAGCAGCTCCATCTTTGTGAAAATGAAATGCAGAAACAGAAAAAAAAATTGTGTGCACACAGCATGGTTGATGTCATTTGGGCTATATACAATGCACATGTGTAGGAAGTTCGGACTCCCACAAGGATGACTATGCAGCTTTGGAGACCTTCAAATGCTCTTCCTACATCATTGTACTCAATAGGGAATAGCCGAAGGCCAAATTCGTCCATTCCCCTCCCTGGTGAATATCAAGTGTGTATGTTCGACTGCACAATTCCTTACTGCACAATTCCCTGGGGTATTTCCCTCTACACCTCCATTCTTCTCATAATGGGAAGTACTCACCTCAGATTCTTAAGGTGAACCCTCTTAAGCATCAACGAAATAACCAGTGCCTTTTACGGTATCGTGTGCCTTTTAGGGTATCGTGTGCGCAACAAACTTGTGTTGGAAAACTTGTTTTCAGCGATTCACGGAATTTTAGTTTTGGGCATACCTGGAAGTTACTTCATGTTTGGCCTCCCCATCCTTCATTGAGTTAAGGGCCAAACCCCACGTGTACAATTGAAACGTCTCCCCAGTGTGGTTGACACTGCCAAGGGTCCACACTGTAGTGTTTACTTGAAGAAACAAAAAAAAAATCTGGCATGCCTTCTCAAGATTATCAAGTTGTTTTTTTGTCAATTTGCAGTCTACAAAACAGCGAGACAACATCACGCAATAAAAGGCAATGTGAAGGTAAACACATGTAGTTTAGACCCAACAGTTTGGGGATGTCTTGCAACCTCCATTGCCTTTATCAGGTACACAGAATTGTGCAGGAATCTATGTGATTCTTCCCCTGTAAATCATTAAGAAAATGCTCTAGGATTTCCTTTTCTCTCATCAAACTACCTGACTACCTTTTCCGCTGAGCTGGAAAGGCTTGCCTCTGTTTTCAGGCTAGTAATTAGCCTGGAGAAAAAAGAGCTTGTGTTTACCCTCTGAAATCCACTAGTATTCTCTGGTAATTTGGACGCTTCAATTGCAAAGTCCAGGATTAAGGTGAAGATAAAGGCACATCCATTATTTTTCAGGTGCAGGGGCTCGATGTGCACTTTTTCATATGGGTCACATTTTATAGTTGTCACAAATATATGGTGCTGTTGCTAGTTTTCTCCCCCTTTGGAAGAAAGCATATCTATATCATTTGGCATTTCAGCATACTGAAACTTAACTATTTTAAAAAGTTGTCATCACTTCTCAGGAAACGTTTTCCGACATTCCAAAAGGTGACTAACCATGACCAAGACTGATCATATTCCCAAATAGTGCACCATCACCACCGATGGCAACCATATCCAGTGCGAATGTTTCTCATGATATTAAAAAAAATTGGGGTTATTTATTTTCAAAGTAGGCTGCTGGCCTTTATTGAAAACACTGCCCCTGGAAATGACTCACTACAAATATGTCAACTTGGGTGTGCA